TCGAACACATTGGCCAAACAGAAAAACTTATCGGCCAATGCCGATCTTTGAAAATATATACAAATATCGGCCGTTATATCGGCCTTGACAATATATCGGTCGACCATTAGTGGAAACCACGGTCTGATTTTCTTTCTTGTCCTCCGCAGGCGTTTATCCGCCGCTGTCTGGCTTACAGGAAGGAGGATCGCTTTGACGTCCACCAGCTGGGCAGCGACTCGTACCTTCTTCCTCACATGAGACGATCCAATTCATCGGGGAACTTGCAGGCCATGCCCGCAAGCCCCGCCTCTTCAGGAATCATCTCCTACTGATTGGCTGATCGATCTTGATTGACGGTTCTGATGGCGAGTACCCTCCCTTCATCACCTCGGGGTGGACAGGAAGGGGGAGGAGCTATACATGTCAGCTGTAGGACACGCCCACAGCGGCCACAGTGACTGCCATTGATACTGGGGCAGGAATGGCTGATGTCATTTCCTGTGTGGATCCAGATGTCAGTCAGAGCTAGAACCTTTTGAAAATGGATATTTGTTTTTTACCCAAGGCATTTTGTGGAGTAGATTTGGGAGGGTTGCGCTAACGTTTTAGCTACTTGTTGATATCCTCCCTGAGCTACACCTCTGTAATGGGGTGTTTTGTTTTGTGTAAGTGTGAAATTTAGAGACAATTAATTGTAGTGTGATTGGAAATAGAAGAATGAGTGTTTTAATGTGACACAACCGTGTCTGTAAGAGAAATTGTGTGTGCGCGCGCGCGCCTGTAAATGGATGTTTTACGCCACAGCGTTATATGTTTGCTGTTCATAACATACATGTGTTGGGCACAGATTGCAAACAGTGGCACAGTGATTGACAAGATTGGGCACAGTGTTACAAAAATGCTGTGTCTATTTTACTTCAAAGTAACATCTATGAAAAATGTCAGTTTGTTTAAATAGGCTTAATATTTGCAAAATGTGGATCGGTGAATCTCACCAAAAATGTCCAGGTCACATTTCACCCCAAAATCAAGGGGGAAAAAAGTTACTTGATTTCCGTGAAAGAAATGGAAGTGTTTTTTTTTTTTACTTGAAATGTTCATGACGGTTAAACATTAAAAAATATATGTAGTATTTTTATATTGCTTTATAAAAATTATGTATTTAAATGTGTGTGTGTGTGTG